CTATACCACTATATGATTGAAAAAAAATTGAAAAATTTTTTTGACCTCTGAAATCAAGATTGAAAAAGAAAAGCCTATCTTAGTAGTGTATTAAAATAGGCCAATGCATTACAGTGCAGTAGCATAGGACTTTCGAGTTGTTACTGTTCCAAATAGCGATAATATACATATTTCTCTTATTACAAAGTACAAGTTATGTTTTATAAAGAGGTATATTATAGTAAATCATGTTTTTAACACAGGAAACTCTCATATGGTAACGAAAACAATGCTAGTTCAGAGTATTACTAGTACTACAGCACTGTAACGCATATACCTATTTTAATACACTACTGAGATAGGCTTTTATTTTTCAATCTTGATTTCAGAGGTCAACAAAATTTTTCAATTTTTTTTCAATCATATAGTGGTATAGACTAGTCTTTTAAGAACATTTAGCTGGAAATTTTTTTTGGATACGACGCCCCGTTATAGAGTTATGATTTTTTAAATAACATGATGTCAAAAAATCCGCCCAAAAGCTTATCTTATTTCTGTTGGTTACGCACCGCTGATTCGCAATGTTTGTCATCACTTCAAGATGTCTACCGATTCGTGAAAAAGGCGTATGGCTGGTGGTTGCAAGAATGAATTTTCGTAATGAAAATACTTACTGTACATAATTAGCCTAGGCCTAGGTCTAGATAATGCTAAATTCAGCGCCTATTGTGGATGCCAAGGTAGGCTAGGCCTAGACCAGGCTCGGATCAACAAGCATTTGCTCTAGCAAAGCACTGACTAACAAATTTCAAAAGGCTTAGGCCTAGGCCTAGCCTAGGGTAGCCTAGTAGGTAGGGCCTAATAATAGGCCTAGAGGCTAGGGCCTAGGCCTAGCTGGTTCACTGTTTGTTACTAGCTAGGCCCTCCCTAGGCCTAGGCTAGTTAGCTGGTTTAGGCTGCTTTAGGATAGTCTACGGTACGTGGTAGGCCTAGCCTAAGCCTCTAGAACTAGGCCTGTGTAGAGTACTCAACAATTGTCTTTCAGAATTTCTCTTGCCTAGGCCCTACCTAGGCTTGCAGCAGCTCGTGCTAGCGAGCAAAGAAACGCTGTATTTATAGGCAGGGGGGACGGGGGCTTAAGCCCCCACCGGACAGGACAAGCCCCTCCACCGGACAGGTCAAGCCCCCCGCCGGACAGAGCTCGTCGGGCAGTCAGACCATAAAAAATATAAAAATAGGCCCACACCAAGCCAACACATGTGTCTGTCACAGTCTTTCCCGCCATCCAAAGGATGGCCGGAAAAATCTTATTTGGGAGGGAAACCCCCCTCTCAACCCCCTTCCCTCAGCTCGAGCCTACGAGCTCAAGTCCCCTCTGTTGGACAACTTAGCTCCCCCTCCCCAGAAAATATTCTAGAGCTGCCACTGTTTATACTATAGGCCCCTGGAGAGGTATTTTTTTTTTAGTTGAAAAGGGTACTGGAAAACAGTATTTAGGATAGGCCCTAGGGCCAACATTAATATAAAAAATTAAGAGTTGAAATTTCAGTGTGAAAGTACATTAGGCTAGCGTCGGGGGTTATCCCTGATGCCAAAAGGTTCCAACACTCCCGATTCAATCAATTCAAACATGCTATCTCCCGGTCTCCCGAATTTGTTCGAATTCTCCCAAATTTCAAAAACTAGGCCTAGGCCCCGCTAGCTGTATTTGTAATCATTTACGTACGGCCTGAAAACATGGGATTTGCACTGTAAAATAAAATAGATGAAATTACTAGGTCACATGAATGAAAAACCTATAAAAGCTATCTTACAGTATAAATTATGTTTATACACCTCGAAATACATTAACTCTATCAGATTATTTTGATGTTGAGGGCGCTTTTCACTAAATAATGTTAATGGGGGCGCCCTTCAACTACAAGTTTTCCCTTCTCCCGATTTTTTAGGTCTAGTGGTTGGAACGTCTGTGATGCTATCATTTCAGCACGTGTCATTGTGGAACGATGAGAATACAGGTTATTTCGTACCTTTATCTTTAGGTTACATGGTTTTCATATTTAATTTAAATTTGTACATTTTAATTGCAGGAATATATACTGTAGGAACAAGATACTCAGTTGATTTCACTAAGATGAAAGAAGTCAATGTAAACAATTTATGAATATTTTCATTTTATAATTATATATTTTACTTTTAATATTATCACATTGGTACCACTTGTGTATTTCATACAACCTATTAATACAATAATGATTTTAATTTATTTATTCATTTATATGCGTAAATTCCATTAAAATATGTTTAAATGCGCATTACAATATTTATATAATTAGATGAAAAATACAAGTTTACATATACAGCAGACATTTAAAAAACGATCATTTTGTTAGTTTATTAATTAAATTAATTTTGAAGAGATTCCATCATAAAATTATTTTTCATTGTAAAATGTTATATTATTAGTGATTTATTGGTTTTTAATACCACCATTGTAATACCACCATTGTAAAACACCAAATATCATATTTTCTCATTTTAAAAATATTCCTTTCATTCATTGACAACAATACCCTCTGTGACATATCGTTCAATCTCCTGGCCACCCTCTTCGTTCTTTTCTCCCACCCACCCGTCCTATGTCGATGACCCTTCGCCATAACCATGACTGCTTTTCTTCCTTTCTGTGGACACACTACTCAGTTCTTGCATTCAACTCTACCTCACTCAATTTTGCTTGCAACTTCTGTGGAGTAAAGTCCCTACCACGGGATGCATTGCTTGGTTAGGTTGGAGTATGCAGGTCATTAGGACCTTAGTAGAGTAATGTCTCTACCCCGGGATGCTTAGTTTCATTAGGTTGGGGAATATGGGTCATTAGGACCTTAGAGGAGTGACGTCCCTACCCCATAATGCATAGTTAATTATATGCTCTGTAGACAGCATTTTCAATTTGTCTCTTTTTGTCATGTCTATTTTGTTGTGCGGATATTGGCCCTTTGATGGCTTTTGTAGTATTAAAGAAATTGAATTGATAGAAATTAAACCCGACCTTATTCACCTTATTATTATTTTCAATCTTAAGAAATAAAGCTGCTGAAAATTGTCCTTTATGATAATGATATGAAATTATAATATAAAAATTCATTAATTTAGTAGTAGGCACTAATCAAATTAAACCAGGAACAAGCTCATAATGACTGCAATTAATCAGTACATTTTGTATCGCAATGCTAGGTTGGGCAGGTTCATCCGTTCAAGGCACAGCAAGTTACTGACTATGTTGAACCAACTCATTTCAATCATTTCACATTTTATTAGAGAACCAAAGAAAGACATTTCACAGCTATGGTAAGATTACACGGTTTACTGGTAGGTAGTGAGTTATAGAATTCATGAGAAGAAGGAATACGGGCTAAACTCATACCCACGGCTGACACGTACACGTAATTTTGGTTAGGTCATACCCATATTTGGCCTGCTCGTACCCAAGTTTAAACATTATGTAAAGAGTATTATCTATTTTGATAATCATTTTGAATTATATTTTTAAGACAAATTTACTAATTAGAGAATTTTGATACAACAGGTATGAAATTTATACCTAATAATTGTATCATAATTGTCGAGGCCTCAAACTATAAGTAGGGGCCGCTATTAGAGTAATAATGAGATGTGTCAGAGCTGTTGATAGTGCAGTCCACGCAAGTTAAAAAGTATTTCAAAAATTGACTTTGTTTTGGTAGGAAATGTATATTTCAAGGAGTATGTAACATTGGATTTTGTTTTATAATTACTCCAAAGTAGGTACAAATAGACTTGGGTATGACTTAGCCATTGTTGGGCTTGAGTTGACCTACATTTGGGTACAGGTTTGCCAAAGTCGGTATGAGTTGGCATGGGTACCGTGGTGTCATCTGCATATCAATGAATTGTATGCAAGCATTTCCCATTTGCACTCCTGAGTCAAAAAATATTGAAAAGGACTGAAGATTAGAGCCATCCTCATCTCGCACCAAATTCAACTGTAATCCATTTGGATATTTTGCCCTTTGACAAGTACTGCATACTTCGTCTGCACATACATGCATTGGCTTATTATGGTGTCAAAGGCTGTTTTATAGTCACCAAAGTGCCAATGTATACTGTAGGTAGTCGGCATTCTGTTGCCTTGTGATGAACACTGTGTCAGAGGTTCCTCGGGTGCTTCTGTATACTGTACAATATATGAATCTGCAAATAAAATGCTATCATTGTCATAAATTACTTAAATTACTTTAATAATATACAGGGAAAACTCTATTTGAGACAACTGTGGCTCGTCCCAGAGAAAAACGAAAGCAAGTGAGAAAGATGGACGCAAGCGATATGGATCTGAAGGACCTTGGGGGAAAGTATGGATTAAAAGACAGTTGATGTTCATCCAACAGAGGTTTGTATACACTTAACTTACACATTAGACAATGTGTTACACGGGAAGTGTGAGAGTTTAGCAAGCTGTATTAGTGTGCGTCCATACAATTATGCATCCTATGAAATATCTACATAGAGCTCTGTCCCCACTATCAATGTATAGTACAGTATAAGTGAAGAGGCTGACTATGTCGAATAAGTATAAACAATGATAATGCTTATTGTAGTTATTGATTTTATCATCTACTCATCCTTGTCAGCATCTTATCAATCATCATTATCGCCATCATCATCATCATCATCATCATCATCATCTTTATCAATTGTTTTTGCATGCAAGATTTCTATTTTCACAATCTTGTCATTCCACTGTATAGTAACAAATCGGCAGTATCTATTGTTACACCTGTCTTAAATGAATTATTAATTTTGATTCTGATTGGATGATCAATTTAATCTAATTTATACATACACTATTAAGCAATCAGAATTAGGAATGTGTTTAATACTGGTGTAAGAATAGCCAGTGGTGGATGAAGAATTTTTTAAACTGGTGCAGGCACAACATTTTTAGAATAGATAAGTGAGTAGCGCTTATTTCAATACATAACATAAATATACATTGAAATTTTAAAATTTAGTGGAAAACGGGGCCCCTTTCTAAAATGTGTATTAGTATATAATTTGAAACTAATGATGAATGTTTCTTAAATGCAGGAGGAGAAAGAAGATTTAGATGAAATTTTAGCAGAGAGAAGTAAAACAAAAAGACAAACAGAAAAAAAAAAGCAGGAGAGGAAAAATCTACATTACATCGTAAGTTGAATAAAAAGTGTAAACCGTGTTATAGAATAATACAAGAAATGACAGCAGCACTTTTAAGACTTACTTGTATAAAATTTACGAAGATTACAAATACAGATTAACTCTGCTGCTCGACTTAATATGTCCGATATTGGTAATCCCAAATTTGAACATATTAGTTCCACACTTAGGAAACTCCATTGGCTTCCAATCAACCAGCGAATTAAGTTCAAAGTGCTCCTTTATATATTTATCAGAGAACAGCTTCGCTCAGTTGTCTAAACTGGTGGTAGCCACCGTGTGTGTGCTGAACCGTGGAGACCTGTAGGTCCCCGGTTCAATTCTTATTGCTGCTTCTGTTCCAGCTGTAGGGGTGAAATACAATTTACGATAAGCACACCGTCAGTCAGATGGGACTTTACGCCGTTGGTCCAGTGTTCATTATAGCCTATGTGCACGTTAAATAACGCAGTACACTATTCGGAAATGAGTAGGGGATTGTCTCCCGGTGTACTGCCCAGTGGCCACCAGACAGTTACAGAATCCTCAATATGATGAAGGCGGCAACTTAACGGAAATATACCAAAGAAGTAGTTCATTTTGTCACTAGGAAATACAAGAATATATATTCAAGTTAATGAATTATGTAGAGGAAATATAAAAATCCTAAATAATTTAATCCTTCCTGTAGATAAAGTCTACTGTATATTTTATTCACTATTAAATATTAGGAAATAAATATATAGTTTTCTTAGCATTTTGGCATTTTCTCACCCTCTGCTGTTGCAATGTCTTTTCTAAACTTTGACCTTTTCATCTTAACCATCTCTTGACCATCTGCACTTCCTAACTCATCTTCATCTCTTGGTTTTTTTTCTCACTCTTCAACCCTTTTTCACTTGACCCCTCTTACCCTGTTTTTTCCTTTACTGATGATTGCCTGTTTCCCATCTAATTCTAAACTCGTTTTTTTTCTGTTGCCAGTTGTGGGAAGTGTATAACAAAAGGTGTTTTATCTGTCTGTCCATGATGCATTCTTCACTAATATTCGTGATAAGTTTATCAGCACAGTATGACCGATACATGAAAATTTGGAATACAGAAACTGGTAAGAACTGATTAGAAATCATCTTATAATGTCACTGAAAACCAAAGCATCCATGAAAATGTGAGCTATTGTGACAAAGTGAATCTTGTACAAAAATCAGGTTTTGTTCCTAGCTTGAGTACAACCAACTAAAATCATTTTCAAATTCAGAAATCTGAAAACATAATTTAAAGAAAATTTCCATTAGAGATAAACAATTGATAAATTTTGTGTTGGTTTTCCCAGCCCATGAAATTGGAAAAAATTGGAAAAAAAACAGCAAAAATTTGCCAACGTTAAATTCTCCGAGGTCGGCAGTCTCAGCAATTTTTTTAACTACCTAAGGCCTATCGTATAAACAATGATTTTTTCCGAATGCTCGAGTTTACGTTGTCATTTACAGATCGTAATTTTGTTAATTATCTCTATTAAATAAATGTATATATATGTATATTGTAGGTGAGAGAATGGTTGTACATAATTTATTTTAATAGTGCGCTATAACACCTATGTTTTACATAACAAAATCGCTAAATAAATGTCATTTTAGTGTTTATTTTAGCGTTATTTTTAGCATGAGAAATATTACTTTCATTAAAATACTATGTGATTGTTAGCAGGCAATCATTAGCTGGCAATGATCACAGATTGTTTGCTTCAGAGCTGCTCATGCATGCCCAGAACGATCTTTCTTCCACTACCCATGTACTTGACAGCATTGACAGTCGTTAAATATATTATAGGCCTAATCCTACTGTCGCATCATGATCATGATGCGACAGTAGGATTAGGCCTATAATATGTTTAACTAGGTTTGTTTTAGATAATAAACAACGTTTTAAATATACTGTACAATAAAAGGCAAATAGATTTAGAAGCGTTACGATCTATGTAGCCTACATGGCTTCAATTGGGCGATATTTTAGGTATACTAGGATGGCTAGCCTATGATACGAAACCACTAGGCAGGCAAGATTAAAAGGAAGAATGGACAACAGCGCCTCTTCTTTTTAATTAGATTACGGCACCTCTTCTTTTTAATTAGATTACGGCTGTTTGGTATAAGTTCTATAATAATGGGTCAGTTTTATAAATCAGTCATTGAAAGTGTCATAACTCAGTCATTTTTAGTTTGGTATGAATATGCTAATTACAGGTATGATGATAAAGAAATTTTAAATAGGATTGTCAAACGTGCTTCTCGAACAATCGGTATACAACAACCTTCATTATACATTCTGTATAATCAACGTATCATCAATAAAAATAAGGCAACGTCCATTATCAGTGAACCTTTTCATCCCGGTAATTGTCATTTTTGCCCCATGCCATCTGGTCAACGTTACAAAACCCCACACGCATCTCGTACAAGATCAAGAGCTTCATTCTTTCCGTCTGCCATCAAAGCTATGCGTGGTTGGTATCCAGAAATTAAATGTTTGTCTCACTGTATAGTAGTTATTCATGTTATTTAAATTATTTATATTGCGTTCATTGAGCCGATACTATTTCATTGTATGTTTACATGTACATTTGACAATAAATTTAATCTGTATCTGTATCTGCATTATACACACATCGTAAGTATGCCCATTAAATATAAATATTGTACAAATAATACTGTATTACAAGCAACTGGTACGTAAAATTTAGTTTTTTGCTAAGGCCTGTTTCAGTAAAAGTTTTAACTTTCCAAGCAGTTTTTGAAGCAAAGAAATCTAGGCCTAGGTTGGCAAGAAGTTGCTGTCCTGGGGCAATTCTAGCTCGGCAATGTTGTTGGTAATTGCCGAATGCCGACGTGAAATTCATGAGCTGGTTTTACTATCAATTCTGAGAAAGAACTTTACAAAATGCGCCTTAAAAACTCTTTTAACTAATGTACATCAACTCAGAACATTTGTCATCATCATGACAGGATTTACCGCATGATTAAAAATGTCATCGGGAAATATAAATATAAAATTTATCAGAAACATCGAAACCCATTTTTTGGCAAAATATCACTTCATACAGTATATATTTTCTTAAATATCTCAAATTTACCTGGCGTCATTTGGTCATGGCACCTTACAAATGTTTATATTTACTGTATTTTAAAATTTAAAACAACATTTACTGGTATTTTGCATAAATTAACTAATATTTTAATTACTTCAGGTGAATGTATTTCAAGATTTACAAACAATAGATGTTCTTGTGTGATGTCCAACCCAGAGTAAGACAAACAACATATCTTTGTAGCAGGCATGGCAGATAAGAAAATTGTACAGGTATGGGATTTATTGAATTTGTTGAAACTGACTATTTTTCCAAGACAGAAAAAAAATTTGTTGTCCTGTCTTAGAAAAATCAGTTCTACAATAAAATCAGTTTTTCAACAGGTGTCACCGACACCATCCACCCCCCCCCCCCATCAAACTGAAAATAATTGTAGAATATCATAGCTATGATTGAATGTACCTACTGTATAAATCTGTGGTGTACGAAAATCGAATCTTCCCAAAATTAGTATTGTTAAAATACAAGCTTGATCAAAAAAAATATTGGTAAAAAACAAAGGAATTTCTACTCCTTATTGAACAACGCACAGATTAAATCGACAGAAAATCAAAGCCGCGCATGATGGGGAACCCCCGAATTGGTTGGGTATTGACAAACTGCGAGGTATGCGATTCATGCAAGCCTACCCTCGTGACCACGTCAACTGTAATTCATGCGAGGTGGGATGAAGTATAGCTGCAGTATTGTACCAAAAGTGCGAGGCACCTTAAAACAAACTACAAATCCGTAAAAGTGACAATTACAATATTTTTATATAAATTATGATGTTCATATGACCTTCTCATTGAGTAATACTAAAATCAAACCATTTCCTTCAATCAAAAAGGGACTTAATTCAACCCAGCCTGATCATATCCCTGGCTGATCATGAGTCTAATACGAGTCGCGACAAGGCCTTGCCAACCTCAAAACCAACAGGAACAGGAGAGGGCGACCGATGAAGAGAGGCGGGTTGAATAGGCGAATCGTACCCACCTGCATGTTTAATCATGTTCGATAATAATTGATGTTATTGTTCATAGATTTATTATGATAGATTAATAGATAAATGATAAATGAATAGAATATTAAAATAGTATGGCATATTATGGTTATTGAAATTATTTGTGTATAAAGCCATTTCAATAACCATATATGTTGTATATAGCCCTAACAGCAGTGAATAGATTGATGCAACAGATACAACATATATCGAAAATAGTATGGGGTTATTTTATACTTTTAAGGATTACCTTAACTTATCAGTACAGACTCCATAGAAATGTGTCACACATACCTCTCCCATCATTTCACCACACCCTGAATGCATTGATTTGTTATAATTCGATTGGTAATCTTACCTTTGTTTATTATTTGGCATTACAGTCAGATAAATAAGTAAAATTTATATATAATACAATAATTATAATATAGTCTAATGTAGCAACATTGTCTAGCCAATGAGTTGTCAATCAACAACTCCCTACTCTAGTAGTTGTGTAACGAAAGTATTTTGTTTGTTATCTTTCTTTACCTTTTCATTACCTTTTCGTTTTCTTTTCTTTCTTTCCCTTTCGTTTTCTTTCTTTTTCTTTACCTTTTTCGGTACTTATATTTATATTGAGACTTGACTCAACAGGTTGGCAATCACAATCAACACAATCCGTAAATTTTCACATGGATGGAGATTGTGTAATATCATTGTATGGTGTCTAAGAGTATTGTGTATGTGATACCAAAAGAGCCGCCACCATGGCTTCGTGCTTGAGTGCAGGATGTATCACATTCCTCATTTCTATTTCTGTTCTTGCTATTTGAGAATTTGGTTAGTGTCTGGTTGCATGATTTGGCACAAATGTTGTACCAGGTCTTGTCAAAAATACCATAACTTGACTTGGCAAAGTGCGAGAGTGATGCACTTGGCTAGTAGTACAGTAGGCCCTTGTGTGTGTTGGTGTTGCTGATAATGATCGTGCATTCAAATCTTAGCTTCCGTCTTAATTTTTAAGCTGGAATTCCATTTTGCTCAAACATATATAGGCTATGCATTTACAGCCTTTCTCTCTCTTGCCTTTCGTACATTTATATGCCATCCCATACTGATTCAGAAAGATCGTCCTATGGTCCTATTTACAAACGACAACAGCAAAGATATTTCCCTCGCGATGTGTTTTCCAATTGGGAGTGTTTGGCTGTTTAAATTGCCTAGAACTATTGAAGCACATGACTGAATCCCCAGATTTCTGCATAATTACTAAAAAAAAGTGGGTTCTATTCTAATTTAATATAAAAATGAGACATTTTCATAAAATAATACCCATATAAATGAATGATCCGATAAATTTACGTAAGAATTGATAAAATGAATGTTTTCTTTGCAGCGGTTATTGATTGCGAGCCTTCGAACGTTAGTCCATTTAGGAATATTCATGTGTTAATACAATATGTATTTGAGTGATGCCACCACTTGTATTTAGGGACCCAGTTTACATTCTGTACTACAGCAATCAAACACCTGTGTGAAAATCATATCAGCAAGGTGCAAAAATACTGTTCTATATGTTTTAATAGATATTTTAAACCCAGAGCCCCCCTTTAAACACCCCATATATATAAGTCCCTTCCTGGCACCCCCTCTATTTTCTATATCTTTTAATAGATATTATAAACCCAAAGCCCCTCTTTTAATATCCCATATATGTAAGTCCCTTCTTAGCCCCCCTCCCCCCTCTATTTTTAATTTCTGGACCTGTCACTTATACCAATGTTGAGTAGTCATTTTGAAAACATAGAGCATCAGATTTTTGGCGTCTTAAAGTTGATTTACTGTCAAATTATTTCATATGGGTTGTGGTTAGTGTGTGAAATCTCAACTTAATTCCCAAAGAAAATAGAGAGAAATAAGTCTGTACATTCCCCAAAACTTTTTCTTTTCATTATTCACAGAACTGGAAATTTAAAGCGCTTCGAAACTTACTTACTAACTGTCTTGTGCTACAAATAATAATAATAATGATGACGACGACGACGACGAGCTTTAATGGTCAGAACAAGTAATTTAAATTGCAAATCATCTACATTGTACGATTGCTGTTTTACGCCATTGTTTGTTTACAGCATAATACATACTTGCCGCGGAGTAAAATGTTGTGAACTTTGAACTTATTTGGAAACACTTTAGGTTCAGTGGCACAAACCATCTGGTAGTGCATCAAAATTAATAAAAACAAGAACATAAAATACAATACCCAAATTCAAAATGAATTAATTTTACAGTATGAGTACAGTGAGCGAAATGATGGGAAACTCTGTGCTAGCTTGAATGGAGCAGTCCAACTGTCAATGAATTCCTCACCCATTGCACAAACACAAGACATCTATTAGCACACCTAATGAAAGTAAGGTTTTAATTGTCTGCCTTTTTTTAGTCATCCTAATAGTATCATGCTGTAACACATAAAATAGGTCCTTAATACACAACTATAAACATGTAAAGAAGACGTGGAAAAAAGTAACCACCACACCAGTGTAGTGGTGTGGTCTCACTCTTGAATACCTTTATAAATTAAATAAGTAAAGTAAAATAAAATATTATATAACAATAACAAATAAAATAAAAAGAAAATAATCAAATGATTAAGAACACTAAAAGATTACATAAAATCAAACTATTAAAATGACAAATTTAAAATTTATGTGTGGTATAAAAAACCTAAAACTACAGTGCAACTTCATGTTTGCAGTAAAAATATTTAATATCTATACCGTTTAATCTGTTTAAAAAGGTAAAGTGGATAGTATAAAATATCTAGTTGTCCTTGCATTTGTTAGATATTCATTTCAATGGCAATAAAATATGAATAATTTTTTATACCCACCATGAATAACAAAAACTCAGAATGGCCAAGCAGTTATGGCAGGGGCTTCGCAATGTACAGCCATAGTAATAGGAGTTTGATTTGAAAGGCACGCTCGTCTACTATGGATCTGAAGGTGCTAAGAATTATAAACCATTGGCCCAGTGTACATAATTGGCTCATGTGCACTATGAACCCAATACATTTTCAAGATGAGTAGGGAGTTCCTTAGTGTACTGGTTCATACAACCCCTGTTGTGGACAGACTAGAGTAGCAGGTACGTGAGGAGACCCCTAGGGGAGAAGAAAGTTAAGGTACAAGATAGTACAGGCCTCGAAGTGCTTTAAAACTGGTGTAAAGCGGTATTTATAGTCAACTAATATATTATTATTGTTATTGTATTGTTGTTATATTGTCATCAGAGACGGCGAGATGGAGTATATCAGGAAATCATTGAACGTAAATATGAAGATTCATTCAGATGGAGGTCAGAACAAGTAATTTAAATGCAGTGAACCAGTAATTTAAATTGCAATGCAATAAAATATTGTTTGTTATCATAATGTTAGGTTTGCCCCAATTCTTGTGATAGCAGGTTGTTTTTCTTGTGACTATAAAGACAACGCCTCTGTGCCTTTATTATAGACTGGGTTATTAAAGCAAAACTGGGCCCTGAAGGGGAGCATTCTGAACAGGATACAAAGTAAAAAGAATAACAATTTTATTCTTAAAGTTTGTGTAATAGTAGCTCAACACTTTACCATTCATGGTTTCAGAGCACATACAATGCATTGATAACTCATACCTTGAGAATTTTATTTTATAGGCCTATTATTATTATTATTATTATTATTATTATTATTATTATTATTATTATTAGTCATCCTAATAGTATCATGCTGTAACACACCTAAAATAGGTCCTTTACACAACTATAAACATGTAAAGAAGACGCGGAAAAAAGTAACCACCACCCCAGTGCAGGGGACGGCGGAATGTTTTTCAAAGTGGGACGGCCCCGCTTATAAGATGAATAGGAATATGAATCATGCAGATCTGGAATCAAATCGAGGCCCTGTAGGGCACACTCTGGTTTTACGTTAATTGCCGTTGTCAATGAAGTTTGTTTTACGAACCAGGCAAATTAAAGTAATTTACTTTCAATGAAAAAACGAAATGAACCAGTCGAATACGGCCAATGTCAATGATGGAAATGAAGACAATGATAAAGTCGAGATAATAATAATTTTAAGTTGATCTGATTTACGTGTTGTTTTATTTTATTAATTTACAGATTGTTGTGTTTTCCATTAATTAATGATCTGTAAGTCAAATTTTATCTAAAGTCGAACAATGCGTCAATGCCATTTTAGATTCGACTATGGAAAGTTCAACTCTAATAATTATGAATGTTGGATGGAGATGAAGATAAAGATGCAAAATTTCATCATGATCAATGTCTTTTCTCCAACTCTTTTTATCATATTTATCTGCAATAATTGTTAATTTTTTACACTTACATATATAGTCATGCATACGATTATCAAGAACACTCCTTCCTACATATCCCGATGGATTTTGATGTTGACTTCTACACACTGGACCGGACACACGAACAATATAACAGCTATTAGGCTCAAGTCAGGCCATTTGTTGTTGTCATGTGGAATGGACAGTAAATTAAAAGTAAGATTGTGTTCTGAAGTTTTTGAATAAATTCTTTGATCTGGTGTTTTATAATAATATTTATCTTGTCATTAGGAAATACAAGAATATAATATACATTATTCACATTAATGATTTATTTAATATAATATTCCTAAATAACGTATTTCCTATAGATGATGTTTATTACAAGTCAACTGTATATTTTATTCAATATTATAATGACATCAAATGGTTTATTTGTTGTTTCCAATCACTTATACTTCTTTGCCTGTTTCGCTTTTTTTAGCTTTCTCGCCCTCTGCTGTTTCACTGTCGACTTTTCCACTGAACTTTTGACATTTTGATCTTAAACACATATTTTGACCTATTTACACTTCTTAACCCATCTTTATATCTTGGTTTATTTCCTCCCTTTAAACCCTTTTTTGCTGAACCCCCACACTGTATAACCTTACCCTGTTTTCCCCCTATTGATGCCAGCCTGCTTTCTATTCGTTTCTGTTGCCAGTTGTGGGAAGTGTAACAAAGGGCATGTCACACGTATCTAGGTCACAAGCAGGCCGTGATGCATCCTTCAACATAGTGGTAATAAGTTTGTCTGTGCAGGCTACAACAGATAAATGGAAATTTGGGATACAGAAACTGATAAGAACCAATTACAAATCATTAGTCTTAATTGTTCATTTGCATAATTAATGCATGTCACTAATCAGGAAATTTACAATAAATAACATCATAATTCCCATAAAAGATTGTCTACTTGCAGGCATGCCAACCACTCCAATTTCGGCAGAATTATTCCGTTTATTTAAGCATAACTCCGCACCCTGATTTTGGGTTGAAAATCTCCACTTTTTACGCATTTTGGCCAGCTGAAATAAATCACACATTTCCTAATAAAAATGATAATTCTATGATTTAGATAAGAACAAGACCATTTATTTTCGTCCTGAAAACAGCCGCGCTCTGAACTGTATAGGAAATAGTAATTCACGCTCTACAGTCTAGTGATTTTGAAAAACACTCAATTTCATTGACCAATTCGCTGTGGCACATTTACACTCTGAACTGTATACGAAAAGTTAATTCACGCTCCACGATCTACTACTGATTTCGAAAAAAAAAACAAATTTCATTGGCCAAATTTATGTCAAAGTTGCACTGTACTTAGAACTGTATAGAGCTCCATGGTCTACTGATTTAGTAACAACAGTCGTCTAGTAAAGATCTCATCGAAATGGAGTTCGATGAGATCGTTACCGGTGCCTAGGCAGTACCAAAAAACGCGTAGTAATGTTCAATCCTCCAAAAAAGAAGCTAAAACACACGCAAAACATGCAAGTTAATAACAGAAAGTATCCTGTCAGTCTGAAATCAAAACTACTGTAGGTGAATGCTTATGGTACGCTTTTTGTGATCGGTGTGTGTTGATTTTCTGCCTAGGGCCTAGTCTTGCATGGCGGTATTGCTGGTGTGAGTCATTACAAATCATTAGTCTTAATTGGTCATTGGAAATTTTACCCGATTCCTCTTGATTCTGCTCACTATCCAAACAATACTGCATATATCAACTAATACTCGTAAACCGCACTCAATGCTCTATCTTCCTCATGCCAGATGCAATGTACTTCACAACTCCTTTTTTCACTGTACACCAATCACATGGAACAGTCTCCCTATTTCAATATGTCTGTCTCCTACAATCCAGTCTTTTAGAATATTGTTATTAAATACAACACCTTCATGACAGTCCAGCCCTACAAATCATGTTTTAATAACTAACTGAATTCACTTCAATGAAATATTTTGACCTTCATTCATTATTATTGTTATTATCTTTATTATTACTTCTTTTATTATTTATTTATGTTTATCTGTATTATTATTATTTTTATTATTATTATTATTATTATTATTATTATTATTATTATTATTATTTATATTATTCTTATTATTACTATTACTATTATTATTAATAATATTTTTACAATTATTTTTATTATTATTGTTATATCTGAATTTATCATTGTTTCTCTGGTAGGCATCTTGTACAGGGACATGTTCCCTTTTTTGCCTACCAGTACTCATTAGGTTTTGAGTAAAATAAATAAAATTATGAATTATAAATTATGAATTTGCATAATTAATACCTGTGACTAATCAGGAAATTTACAATAAATAACATAAAATCCCCATAAAAGATTTTCTACTTAGTTGAAATTGTAATCTATTTGCATAATTTGAAATAAAATGTTTTCTTCATATTTTGTTAAAATTTACTTTTAATATAATCATTTTTGTGTTAAAAGCGCTTTTGCATCTGAAATCATCTTAGCACTCAGAACTCAACCAGCTGCCAGGTCAAAGCTCAGTGCGACGGGGCACGTTTTAGGCTTACAAAGTATACGGTTGGATAGTTACGTAACCTGTGATGTTGGCCTCATTACAGACCCAGT